AGCCGCTTTGTCATAGAAGTCCTAAGAGGTTCTTAAAAGCTGCTTAGGGGGAAGGCAACATACAAAATCCTGCAATGTACAGACTGCTGTTCTCTGCTTATCAAAAAGAAAAGAGGTGAACCAGCCCCATGGAGGGCACTGTCAGCTCATCAACCCTCTGGCCCCAGGCGGGGACAGCCACTGCCTGCTTCCACATACACACATGCTTGCACAATAATGAAGAGGTATTAGTACATCTAAAAGTTTCTGGTTATTATTTTAGCTGCTGCTGCACTAAAGCTTCCATTAATCTCCAAAAACAAACTGTGCATTGCATTCCTCTCTGCAGCAGCATCCTCTTCCCGCTTTTGCCCAACAATGTTTTCTTTCCCCTCAAGAAAGCTTTCCTGACTGAGAACATTTGTTTTCACTTTGAAGGGTGCTACCTACATGCCAGGACCCACATCTACTTGGAGGTCTCCTAATGCCTTTGGCTTTGTGCTATATAAAGTTGTGGTCTTCCACCAGTACAAACATGCTCTGAGTCACAGGTTAGGTCCTAACTCTCCCCAGCCTGTTCTTAGATATTTCGCCGACAGCCTCACACAGAGGAAAAAGGCTGTTTCTGAATGGCTGGAGAACATTTAAACACTTACCTGGAGGGTCTCCACAAAATGCAGAAAATGGAGCCGAAGATGATGAAAGCAAGAGCCTGAAATTCCAGATTGTTTACTAGAATGAAGGTTCAGGTCAGTTCATATTTTACCACAGAGGTTTCACCCGTCCCCAGAACAATGAGAAAACATCGACGGGACCTCTAACAGGTATTACAAACATGAAGAGGTACACCACAGCCATAGGTATCAATCACCTTTTTTACTGCTTCTATCCAGCTTCTACTCCCTTTGACAAAGTAAGCATGGGGATGTATGGAGTTGAAGAAGATCTTTCAAATATATTCTTTAATTACTCACGGAATAGAAATCCTTGCAGAAAAAATACGTGAATCTGAATAATTTGACTTTCATCCAAATTCATACAGATGGAAACAGAAATCAAGTTATACAGGTTGACACTCTTATCGTAGGACAGTATCACCACCACACGGGATTTTATTTGATGTTGATAGAGCGATACTGTCAAAATGTAAATAATTCCCACTGCTATTATTTTATTTCCATGGGTTTACAATATTGTAAGACAAGCTGGTTATACTCTTAGCCTCCAAACAGCTTGATTTTATACGAGTCATAGAATTACAATAAAAGATGTCCGTTCTCCACACACAGACAAACACATGCACATACCATTTAATTCAAGCATACATGAGAAAATGTCTCACCCGATTAACAGAAAAATACTTGAGCTGGACAAGGGCAATAAGTGACAAAATTATATTATTAGAATAGTTTTGCAGCCATTTTTTATTCCAAAAAGTTGTGTTTTTGTAAACCTGACATTTCCAAAACAGTGCAAGTGAATTAGAATACAGGTGAACATGAGCTTCTAAATACAGGTGACATCAATAAGAGTGAACACATTCTTCCAATCACAAGTTCACAAAAAGAAACATACTGTTTTACAATACATAAGGAGTAACAATCTAAGTAAAAGGAGTGACAGTGGTGTGGCTACCCTACTGTGTATGCAAACTGTGCTCCAAAAGCAATTATAGTCTTCATGCCAGTTTAATCAACGTATGCTAAACAAACCAAATCCTACTTTCATTATACCCAAGAAACCCTAGCAAGTAGACGGACTTGGACAAAGGTAGAAATTAGTTCTGTGACTCCCTTAATCCTTTAGTGAAAGCAGTATTATACATTGCCACACCACATGGATACTATGCTTGAAACTTGTGCAAGACTCCAAAATGTGACCATAAACAGAAGACATTCAAGAAAGTCAATACTAAATATTGCCAAACACAATCTTTGCACAACTGTTGCTTTCAGCAAGCCAGGTTACCTGCACATCACTGACTTGTATGTAGGGTCCTCCCCATTCATGTATCAAGGCAGAGAGGGTTGTCCTCACTGGGGTGCTCAGCATTGCAAAAGCCTTTGCCACTTTGCGATGAAAGGATTGCTTAAGTGGTTTACAGGCTTGGAGTTCACAGCAAGCACAGCTTCTCTCTCAATCCAAGTGATTTGTGAGGTGACTTCAGCTCAGAGGCTGCTCCAGTATTTTCTGCAGTTTGCTGACTTCCTCATTGTAACTGAGCAAATTAAAAACTAAGTTTATTCAGAAAAACATAGCTAGTTTTTTTGTTAGCTACAATGGCCAAGTACCAGAGCATACTAGTGACAGCCTCAGAGCACGCTAGCCCTGCTGTTGCTTGGGCTGATCTAACGGAAATTCACCTCCAAGAGCAGACACTTCATTTTCAAATTAAATGGTCAAAAACATGCTGTGAATGGTGGCAAATGCTTTCAGCTCTTGGGAAGTGAAATTCATCCCTATGCTGTGGGCCACCAAATCTCTGAAATGTCCATGATCTTGATGTCAAGATGGACATTAAATGAGGTTGCAACAATATGGGCTCTGCACTAAGTGAATGTTTCTTTAATTTTTTTTCCCTCCTCGTACTAAATTCCTGATCGTATTTTTCTTCCTAACCTAAAAGCAACGTCAAGGGTACTATCTGTATGAAGACATCCTGCACACTGCAAGTTTCAGGGCTCAAACAAAGATGTCTCAGGTGCCAGGTAATGCATTTGAAAATGGTACTGTCCTACTCCTAAGCTTCCACCTGCATAGCTTAGAGCCAGTGCAAAGTGAGCCCGCTGCAAAACAAACATAATGCCAATTCAGCAAGCCTTTCAAAGAAGCTGTCCAAGACAATCGATGACTTTATCCCAAAATGTATTAACTGGAGATAACTGCTGCAACAACTTCGCCCAGCTCTGCTGTGCACGCGTTACAGCACAAATGAACTACCAAGCAGCTGACAGATGGGAACTTCCAGAGCCCTAGAAGCAATTTCCAAAGTAACCACACCTCTAGATTTTGATACAATTATATTTTTTACTATTTCTTAATTTAAAAAAAACCCAGTGGATTTATAGCACAGCTATTGTCCACACATTCTTGAAGTATATTATGTTTTCACAAGATTTTTGGGTTAGAAACTGATTGAAACGAACTGATATTAGTGGGGTTTTCTGTTTGGCTTGTTTGGTTGCTTTTTAAGGAGTGGAAAGGTGCATCTACAGTGTTTTAATACTAAGTATTGGTATGCGTCATTGTCAAATCTGACTATCCTAACTGGAACCAAGCAAAAGCCACAATGGAATTTAAAAAAAAAAAAAAAGGAAAAAAAATTATGACGAGTATCTATATAAAAAAACAAAGGCATCTGTCACAACAGAACTACTGAGTACCCTACAGTGATGATACTAAGAACTTATGGATTATTTCAAGAATACGTTGCTAATCGGGCCAACAACTAGATTTTCACTAATGATGACTTGTGCTGGATCAACAGTAGACAAGTCAAGTCAGAGATCAAAAAAGTCCAGTGTAGGCTCAGTCAAAGGGGATTTACTTTTGTTTTTTACTTTAACCAAGGAAAACGTTTTTTCCTTGAGCCAAAAAACAAATAATTGTCCAACACAATATGAAATGCTAAATGGGTTATTTTATCTTTTAAAACTCTTTTCTTCATATACTTAAGAAAGATGTTTCAAAGGAAATAGCTAATCCTGATTTTAAAAATATTGTAAAGAAGCATTTTGGTAGATCTGAAAGTAAATTTTTGTTTAAAACATGGAAATTAGGCATTTCAACTTTTCAAAGGGAATTTCCTCCTTTTTTTTTGGATGGAAATGTTCAAATTCAGTTAAACTCACAAATAGTTTCACTTGTCCTGTGAATTTTTTTTTCAGCAAATCTACTTTTTGGAGGCCCAATTTTAGAGAGGGCAGATTCTGAAAATTCTTACAGCTAAATAAATGGACTTTTTTCACCCAGTATTTTAAGCAATTTCTTATTCAATTCATAGTTGTGCATCAATCTCACGTCCAACTTCTAACTGCCAGTTTTAGGTATTTCTCAAAAACAGAAAAAATAGATAACATCAGGTTTAAATACTAGCAAAACTAACTGATGTCAGAAATACTGTGAGGAATTCAACAGCCTCTAATACAACAGTGCAGTCAAAGGCCATCAGCCTTTTGTTTTTGCTCTCTGATGAAAAACCTGCAGTCCACTACATGTGGTTACAACAGGATTTTGCCTCAGCAGTTTGTTTCAGGTTCTGACTTAAATGATCATTTGCTAGATGAAACCTGTCAAATCACCAATGGTTGTTTTAAGAAAGATAACTGAATAGACTAATAGCTTTTCTTGTCAAATGTTGAATCAATACACTTCATTCACTTAAAAACCATCATCTGCCTAATGGGTGCAGATAGTTAAGCTAATAAATATTGATCAAAACTGTAGTAAGAGCAGGCACCTAATGCCAGTGGGGGGAAAAAGGCAAACAGGAATATGGACATGGTTAGTTTTTCTAGATTTGAAGCTATAATGAATTTGGCAAGGAAAAACAAGAATAAGACCTGTTCTCAAGAAGATTTCTTGCATGTTCTCTGCATTCAAGTTTCCGAACTTCTAGCAGTTCTTTTACCTTACCCTTATGGAAGGAGACATCCTGCAACCATTCATTCCTGTTTCTCCTTCACCTTCTACCACAGAACTCGAACCTTCTTTCCCTTACATGGATTTTACGCCAACATGACATTTACTACTCATTTACACAAGGTGCAAAGTTCAAGTAGAATCTAAACCCAAGTCTTACAGAGTTCCACTGTTTTGATTCAGAAATCCATGAACTTTTTGAAGAAACACGGTGGAATTAATTACAACTAAGTTTCTTCTAATTCAACAACTTTAGGTATTTTCTGTGAAATTATTTGCTAAGGAATTACCAGAAAACAAAGTGGCAATCTGAGATCCAGTAACATCTGCACCTTGACTAAACTTCCTTCTTAAGGCTTGAGGAAGGATGACATTCAGTACTTGGAACATCCAGATAGGGAATCTCACAATCCAAAGATCCAAACATTTTTAACTTTGCATCTACTTCTCTCTCTTAAAATTATCATATAAACAAACTAATGACTTGTGTATGAAACTCACAAGGCAGGCATAATGCTCATAGCTTGTAGCAATTTATCACTTGCTTTGATAGCAACAGATCACAATCATTAAAACTAGCTTAAAAACTATCCTTCTTAACATTAATATGGCTCTATTTCATTTTTATTTTTTTTAATTCCAATAAATTTGTCAATACTATAGTGGTTGGCCCAATTATATCCTTCTGGTATCTCAGATGTACAGTCCTAGACTATTATCAAAGTACTAGAGACTGCAAGAGAAAACTTCCCAAAGGAAAACATTGTGTGATGCTTTCTTCAGTGAGACAAAGCAAGGTACAAGTCTTGCTACATGTCACCGAGGAAGCGTTTTCATCCTCTCTCATTCAGGCCAGTAAAGGATAGACTCAGATACAGAACATCACATCTGTGTAATACTTCAGGTTCTTTAGTTTATAAATCGAACACCAAATTCAACTCAAAAAAAGAGATAGTGAAAAGACTTTGGCTTATTGCCATTAAATGGAATATATACAACATTACCAAGCCTTGTGAATTAAGCATATGAGGATTTCAGCTACTTTTATCTGCAAATCTCTTTTCTCTCTTGCATTGAAGTTTAAAAGTACAATAGGATTTATATATACATATATGTATTTCCAAGGATTTAGCCAGATATCAGTGCTTGAGTGAACTATATAGCTATTCAATAGAAACTATAAAACATTGATACAAATATAAAGAAATAATCAATATAAAAAGCTTATATTTATAAAAAATATTTTTAGGTAACAGTCTTCCCCTGAGGGTATACCACATAGTTGGATTCATAAATATTGCTCTGCACTGCAGCTTGGTTACCAAAGTTCAAAGTTCAGCTCTTAAATGAAGTGTAAATTGCTCCAGTCACCTGACATGGCTGCAGTGGTTGCCTCAGGATATGTTCCCTAGCTTGTTGGAGTGATAAAGACACAGCATCAATGGGGTCTCCGAAAAATCTGGAGAAGATTCCTTCTTCCACATATGGAAGATATGAGAGCAGGACCTATAGGCTAGCAAGCGCGTATCACATGACTGGGCTTTAGTTTTCATGGGCAGTTCACTGATTTTTCTGGACCCAGTCCCAACTATCTTCATTCTCCTTTCTGCTCTTTTCGGCCTCAATAATTTCTTTGTACCTCCGGCGGAAGAAGCCCATCTGCAAATCGAGAAGAGAGAACAGTGGTAAGTAACCATCATTAACTTGAGACTTTTTCAGAAAATGGCGTGCAGAAGAAAACAGCACAGGTGTTAATAGCCAATTTCTCCTATAGCCAGTCTGGAATTATAGCTCCTTGTTTACATCAGTATAAATGAGATCAAACCATGTTCCAAACCTTCATGAGTACTCTGCTCCTTATAGATGAACTACTCTGAGGGAAGAAAGTTCTTATGTGAAACATGATTTAAAAAACAATGCAGACAAAGTACTTCTAATAAACACAGAGCAGCAGAGGCAGATACGGGTTTATTGGTTTCAAATAAAGACTAATGCAAAATCTGGATCTGAACCTAAAGCCAGGCTAGCGCTTGGGTCCTGAGTAAATGCTGCCAGAGTTTTACAACCTGTGCTCTCAGTGTCCACAACTGCACAAACGAACAGAGATCAGAGGAATACAGTACACCCACCTCCCAGCCTCCAAATTCCAACTATCGGCCTTTTTTTTTGGTAAGAAAGCCTCTTCCAGAAAACCTAGCACAGTCTATTGTCTATCGCAGGCACTCCACCACCATTCTGAAGAGCTCTGCTGCCATTTTGATGTGCCTGTCTCCAGAAATATCAGGCTGCTGCTGTGCAACCACAGGTACTACTTTTCCTGCCAGCAGTCACTCTAAGTTCAGGTCTCAAATTTTCTATTTGAGGATCATTTATGTTAAGATGCTTTGGAGGAAACAGATCGCTACAGACTCTTCTTTTTGCTAATGATTTCCCTTGTCCCGCTGCTACCAGTTGTGTAATCTGCAGCTCAGAAGGCAAAATACAAGCCTGATCCTACAAAACGCAGAGCATAAACAGTAATTCTTCCAAAAGCTTTCAACATGCTGCAGGGCTGGTGATTGCTTTTGCTTTTCTTCTCCTTTCCTCAACCCTTGTACTTAGTTAAAGAAATGCAAGTGGTTTTCATTCCACTTTGGATAAAAACCTCTCATATCTCTGGTTTTTTAAGTCTTTCAAATAAACAAAAATGATTTTAATAACAGATTTTGGTAAGCATTCAAGAATAACTCCTCAAGCTTAGTAGTGCACTACTGAGACCATTGAATCAATATTTTGTTCATCATAATTAAACATTTATGTAACTCCTACCACTCTAAACCTGTTTTCTTACTCCTGCTGGGTAAAACATGATGCTTTAGTCTTCCTTTATCAACCAGTTATTGCCATCCTTTATTCCCCAATTGGCTATATGTAGGAATATTTTGTGCTCTTTTGTCAATGCTAAGATTCTGTTAAGTTGGGCTTTTTCGTTTCAGTTCTTTAGCAACTTCACTTTTCTTCAAGTATATTTAAACTCACAGGGGTCTGAAAGGCAGCTTGTTCAAAGTGCCAAGGGTGCTTCTCCAGCAGAGCTTCCTCAAGCCCAGTGCTCCCAACTACATCCTGAATTCACGGCAACATGAGACCAGACACACACCATCTTCTCACCATCTCTTACCTCCACCACTTGGCTTCTGTGCAAAGGACACAGAAGCTGCAGCATCGTCTAACAAGCTCCTTTTGGGCAGCTGTAGACCATGGCCCTGGCACGTGCTATTAATCTAGAGATGGGTATACCCTCCTGAGTGCACAGATGCGCATTACACACACACACCTACAACCACTTTATAAGTACACAATAGGCAGCCATACACATAAATGCCTACAATCTCAATTTTACAGAGGTCCCATGACCTTATGAAGGCTCCCATGAAAAAATGGATTTAGACCTTAAAAGTAATTTGTTCATAGTCTTGTGCACAGACTGCAGACATAGTCTCTTTCTCATCTATCATTAGCAAAGCTTTATCTGCTGCTCAATACGTGCAAGCGCATAGATAATGGTGGCTCTGTCCTGAAAAACCACTTCACAAAAGGGACACTTGAATTTCGGAGGGCTATGTCTCCCTCACCTCCTAGCATCTTTCAAAACAGTGTACGCAAGGATTCAGAAACAGAGAATTAAGGAAGAGTTTCTCTAGCTTCCCATTCTTCAAACTTGCTCTAGAAGTCAGATCAAGATCTTTCTTTAGCAGAAAAATATCCTTACTAGTCATTTTTGTACTTCTACCTACAAGCTATACCAGTCCAAAGGATATATTTTGAAAAGACATCCTCAAGACAGCACCATCATAAAATCCCAGTGAAATTTCACCATTGGTACCAACGTACTTCGGCTCAATGGAGACTTGAAGTCAAACGTCTCTCTAGATTTTCACAGTCTAAAATGGAGGTGAATTATTTCATTGATAATGAAAAAAAACTAAACCAGTGTAAGAATCTACTCCTCCTCTGTTGTTCGGCCCCAGTAGGATTAATCGTAGGTACTTATGTTAGTCACCGGAACGTGCAGATATTCCTTACATATGCTCAGGGAGTAGATGTGTTGAAGAAGTGGGTACCGGTTTGGTATTATCCATTTTTGTAACAGACCTACATGTTCTGCACATTAGAAAATAAAATTGCCACAGGACTTTGTTTCCTAAGATTAACAAGAGAAGTTCAATTTGTAGCTTTTAAAAACAGGTTTTAAACCCTTAAGGTTTCCATCCTTCATGCAACCACATTCTTGGTACAATAAAATCCTCTCTTGAAGTTATAATCAAAATTATAGAAAGGCTCTTTAATTTCCTTGAGGGCCAAACAAACAAAACTAAACTCCTTCTCACTGTTATTTTAATAAAAATTGTCTGTTTGTGAACATCTGCTTCAGGAATTATCTTTAAAAGTTGGTTATGATAGTTTTGGTATTCTACTATTTTCTTACTGGATACAGAATGCTTTGTATATCTTCCCAGTAGGGCAAAAAAGTGAGCTGAAGAACATAATAAATATTAATGAAGCATGAAATCCTACATCTAGGGGTGCTTCCACCATGAAGCTGTATATGTTTACTTGCTGTAAATTAGGTGGAGAATCTAAAATTATGCAGATGACTTCAACTGAAGTGCAAGCAAAACAGAAACTGGACCTTAAGGATTTTTTTTTTTTTTTTTTTTGACATATTTTGAAATAGTGGTCAGGGATTAGATATATTTCCCATGCCTGAAAGGCAAGGATGTGCTTTGTTATGGGACACTGTTCCCTAGTGTTAAACCACATATTTCCACTTAATGGGATAGAGTCCCTATCATCAGCAGAAAGGGTTTTTTTTTTTTGTAATGGCTGTGAAGAAATCACAACACAGTCACTGTCTCACAAGAGACCACACAACCCACATATCCATCTCCTTACAATGAACTGACTTCATTAAAAATGACAGCATTATTAATCCATATGGTAAGGGCTGATAAGTGCCTGTGGCAAGCTGCAGAGAATAAGTGAATTTAACATACAATGATGAGATACAGGGGTAATAAGGAGGAGGACACTTGGTCCAAAGCAGGAGAACTGATGCAACATGGGGCTGAGTATATCCTGTCTCTTCTGTCACTGGGGCACAAGTGACACCAGAAGATCTCTTTTCTGTGGCTAACACAAAGCCCTTAAGGGAACTCTAAAAACCCAGTGAGGACAGCACTGCTGGGACTCAGTCCTGGATTTCAAGCGGGGAGAGGAGGAGAGATCCTCAGCTTTAACAGGAGTATTGCTGTGATCTCATTTGTGGAATGGGTGTTTACAGTTGGCCCATGGTCTCCAACCCATGTTTTATGGGCAACGAGTCTCTAATGTTGTTCAATTCTCCCAAACTTTGCTTTCCACATATACAGTCATATGCACGCAAGCGCACATGTGTGTGTGCAGACACACAGATGTATGTAGATGGCAAAGGAATACCCAAGTCCAGAGCCATGATCATATCATGCAATCTGTGAGTTCACACCACCACACCCATAGAAAGGACTGATGACAGTATTTTGATCAGTAAACTTCTGCCTGGGGAAGGCACTCATGAGAGGATAAGCAACAGGAGAACATATTTACAGGAGGCAAGAAGAAAGTACCGTGGGAAGCCAAAAGGTTACAATGGAAGAAGAGGCTTCAGCCACCAAAGACAATGCAGGAAATGAGAAAAGTGAACTACAGTCAGCATTTTAGAGTTGGGTAAAAATTATTTGGGGGAGCTGAGGAGGCCAACTTAAGTTATGGGCCTTTTAGGTCAGTGTGGCTGAATGAAAGGTCTCAGGAGCGGGACACTGCTCAGCATGCACCATGCTTTACTCTTAACCCTGGCAGACCTCACCAGAGGGAAACTGCTATGCCAAGGCCACCATGTCTTACTTTGTTTCTTCTCTGTTGAAGCATAGAGGAGAAAGAGGGCCATTAAAGACTTTGGGAATACAGGGACAGTCCCAAAATCCTGCAGCTATCACTGTCACTCACAATGGATTCACAACCCATGCCAGGGAAAGGAGAGACTGTCTGAATTGTCTGTGAATCCACAAACTGTCATGTTTCACATCTGCCATGATAAACTGCAAAGATGTCTGCTTGCTTTTAAACAAATCCAAAAAATTCAGGCAGAACCAAACAAAATGGAAAGAAAAAGCTGGCCTGGTCTTTACCAGAAGTCACAAACTATAACCAGTCCTTTCTGGAGGTGCTTCAAGTAAGAATTAGAGCTGTTATAAACAGGCTGCTTGGATTCAAAACCTGAAACCATCCATAGGTTTTACACACATCCCTTAATTCAGTTATTCCAGCCTATGTACCCTCTTCTAGCATAACCTTACTGCCATCTACAGTATACGCTGAGCAAAAAGCACATTCCTGGCAAAACTGAATAAAGCAACAGAAAATCTGTGTTATTTCTAGGCTGGGGAATTATACCTGTTTGTGTGAAGTTATTTCCAGCCATGTGACAGCACTGTCAAGTCTTCTTTTCAATCTTGAGTATTTCAAGTCTGTTTCACTAGCACACACAGCTCCCTTTAGCTGTCATGCCAGGTTTAAATCCCTCAAAAATCACAGATAAGTCATATCTAAAACACTCGCATAAAATAGCATTCTTCATGCACTCA